ACGCTTGAGGTATTCGTCCAATCACTAGGCACTGTATAGTTGGCCAATCACAGCACACCTCGCTTTTTTCAGACCGATGAGCTTTGTAAAAATCAACGCGTTTCAGAAAGGCGGGGCATAGAGGAGAAACAAAAATTTAACCTTAAACCGCATAAACACATTTCATTACACCAAATACACAAAATAATGTTCTTTTTAGCAGCATCATATGACCCCTTTAAAATCAATAAGAAGTCAAAATTAGCTTTCCAGAAATCAAAACAAACATCTTTCCCAATTTATGTCATAGGCCTACATAGGGTATTATTGGTATTCTTGTGAAAATTGCTTTTTTCTTTCTTTCTTTCTTTCTTCACAAAAAAAGTACCTTCATAAATTTTCAAGGTGCAGTAAGAGATTCCTAAGAAATGCTGTTGAAAGTGGATCGGATCGAGCACCAAAGTACCTTGTAGCCAATCACCAGTAAGGGGCGTGTCCACTTATGATGGGGAAGGTGCCTGTGTTGCATAGCATGTTTGTGAATTTGGGGGCAGATCTATCAAGACGGGTAGCCTACAGTCCTTTTAGGTAGGGGAGCATTTGTTTTGGTGATTTCAAATATCAACAGTGTTTCTCAGAAATCACTTACTGCACCTTAATGCACTAAATTTCTAAAAAAATATAATGCTCTAAATTTCAATCCTGGCTGACATCAAGACGTATATGGAACGCCCACTTTTTAAGATCCAACAAATTCCCGAGTTCATCAAAATAAGTCCCGCCCTAATTTTTTTCTTGTTTAAGATCCTGTTTCACTAATAATAAATGTCATATTACTAAAGTATATTGAGTTGCAAATGCTGTTTGATGACTTTACAACTTCTAGTTTACTACAGGCTACATTAGCTATGAAAAATTGTGACACACACACAAAACTTGTACACTGACTAAAGGATAAAGCTAAGGAACTAACTCATGGTGTTTTGCAGGTAAAAGATAATAATACCTATGAGTTTGACAACACGGCGGCCTGGCGTTATGACTCCTACTATTCCATGGGAATTCTTGGATTTGGGCTGTTTGTCCTATTAGGAATTACATCCCTTCCATCTGTGAGCAACTCCCTAAACTGGAGGGAGTTCTGTTTTGTACAGGTATTACATTGTCAGTCTGTAGAAATGCATAAATTTGAGTGTCACTGAAGATTATTTTACTAAGTTTAGAAAGCATAATACAATATGGACAATGTTGGGGTTTTTTTGTCCAGACTGAGAGCTGAAAACACAGTATTGATCAGAACAAATGTATCCGGAATGTTTTTAAAATTTCAATGTCGAATTTTTCACACATTGACAATGATGTTTGATCAAATTATTTTTCTTCCTTTCTTTTACAGTCCAAACTGGGCTACATCACCCTGCTGCTCTGTACCGCTCACACATTTCTGTATGGCTGGGACAGATTTCTGAAACCTGCATCATATAGGTGGTGGATGCCTCCAGCATACATGTTGTCTCTGGTGGTCCCCTGTGTGGTTCTGATTCTAAAGCTAATCCTGATCACTCCATGCGTGGACCGCAATGTCACCCGTATTCGTCAAGGCTGGGAGAGACAGGGCAAGATTTCAGCAAATGGCAGAGACACAAAGACAAACCATCCACTCATAGCGTAGCCATCTTTTAACTGTATGAAAACTGTGTTGGACTTGCCCTGAACTCTTCTGCTGAAAGTGAGTTTAAAATGTTGCAATGAAAAAGTGCAGAGAACTAAGACTTAATTGAGCAATTGACTTGGGACTCAACTTGGACTCAAAATTAGAGACAACACACATCTTTAGGTCTAAAAGAAAGGAGACATATTTCCAGAATACCACCATTGTTTAAGCAAGAGGAAGTCCATCAGGCACAAAAAGTATTGCTTGCTTACTTATATTTTGACTGACCCATGTTTTTCAGTGACTTTTTCTACAGGTTACAGTGTTACACCACTAGGTGATGACATAGCTGTTGAACCAGTTACATTAAATCAACAATTTGTTAAAACACTACTTCATTTAGGAAAAAAACAAGTCATCATCTTTATGAACAAGTCATTGCAGTCACTCTACTGATTCATTCAAAACACTGATTCAGAAACGAAACACATTTACTGCACAATGCACAATTCTGCTTTGGTTTTGTCTGGATTTGATCTTGTTGGCAGAGCCTTAGACTTTAAACTTGACTTGGACTCGTGACAGAGACTTGAGAACACATCTGCTCAAGTGTATGGAAGCCCAGATGAGAGCTAGAGAGAGTTTGACTTCTCAATACACCTCACTACACTGCTGAGCGGCAGTTTCAAATTACAGTTAACCAACCGTGGGAAATTCTTTGGAGCTGATCCTCCAACTCACATTGGTGATTACATCTCACATGATCTCACATTACTCTATAACCTACAAATTGCATTTAAGGCCTCTTTACACTTGGGACATACTCACAAATGCATATATATGTTTTGACCATATATTCATAGTGCATCACAACATAACCAATCCATATCATCTGTGTTCATGTTAGAATTCATCTATACCCTTTAAAGAATACAAAGGAATACAGAAATGGTGGGGCTTTTATTAGAGCACACTTTTCTGTATTGTGTAAAGCACTTGTCTTTTTTATTACCTGCTTCCTCTGGGCTGTTTCCTCTCAAGAGCCTCCCAGTGGGCTTTTCACTTTAGATATTATCGATCCAAAACTGAGCAGCAACTTACTTCTTGATCTGTTTCTGGGTCTGGGCTTTCCTGTCTGCAGGAAAGCTCATCTTTCTCTCTCTTGTGAAGTATAAAGGAGCTGTCAATCACATCGGCATTCACCTTCACTGGTGGATGGCCCTTTCTGTATAGTGCTTTTATGAAGAATTGCAAGCTGCAAAGAGTGTAGCTTAGACCAAAATATCAAGGCTCATTTTGTGACAAATATAACTGAAAATCTGTGGGTGCACCTTTGAAGAAAACTAATAACTTCACTTATACTGAGCACAACAGCACAACTCTGAGTGTGTTTATCAATAAATATTGGATATTCACTGATTTTGATTTTATTTTTGTATTACGTATATCAAATAAAAACTGAAATGCACAGCATTCTGACATTTACACTTGCATTAATTTTAAAAAATCATGATTTATATGCATGGATGTTTGGAAGGACTTAGCCATCACTGGCAGGAAAAATCATGCTGAAAATAAATTTCAAATAAGGTTTGATTGCATCTATTTAGACAAATTGAGGAATACTTTATTGGTTTTGTTGGTTGCTAGTACAATTTCTTACATTGTATATGTTAGATTTAATATATTCTATTCTCTCTCTCTCTCTCTCTGTATATATATATATATATATTATAAACAAGTCTGAACATTATAATTAATAAATAATAGTACATGCAAATTTAAATATATAAAATTAGTACAATAAGTAAAAAATATTTTTAATGTGTGTGGGTGTGTCTGTGTGTCACACACACACACACACACATATATATATATATATATATAGATACATACATATTCACTTAAAGGGGTCATATGATGCTGCTAAAGAGAACATTATTTTGTGTATTTGGTGTATCGGCCAGAGCGACGAGACATAAACATTAAAACCCAATATAAACGAGGCATTTGTTGCATCCAGTGGGGACATAATTACGGATTATAATGATTTATACTGTCTTTTTACGCGTTGCGTTGCATCGCGCCGCGTAAACATAAAACCATGTCTGCATTTGTGATCGGAGAAATGAGTCAATGACAAACAACAACTGCAACTCTACACTGCTCAAAACTCGCGTTTGAATAGTCAGTGGCAAATTCTTTAAATATAAAAACGGCAACCACATGTGACGACCCCGGGTTGGATTCTGCTTCATCCACGGTGAAAGCCGATCCGGCGATCCACAGCGCAAAGTTGATGTATTTCCTCAGCGACCATCGCTGATTCAGAGGCGCCAGATTGTCATAGCAAAGTCGGAATTTACCCTTTTTTTTTTTTTTTAGAAATAGCCTTTTTGCACATCCAGCCTTGTACTCTTCTAGGTTCAAAAAGCTGTCGTCCATAAAATGCGTTGCACTAATTCGAACATCTGGGTTGTGCTGTTCTGTTGTAACTAAATCTTAACCAATGATTCCTAATTGCATCTACTTCCGGAAGGCCAAATAAAGTGCTTTTGCTTTCGCACTGAAACACACAGCGTCTCCCTGACATGGCTGCATTAACACTACTGCTGTTCCTGAAACCACGCTTTCTTTCTTTGCGTGCACATTTGGGCGGTGTTATGCAAATCTTCCCACATTGTGATGTAGACATGTGGGGGCGTGGTGGAACGAGCCGTTTTAGGTAGGCGTGGTTGACTCTTAACTTTTATAAAGAATATCTCTTTGGATTTGAGACTTTAGTCTTTGCAACTTTACAGATCTTCTTTATGCACCAAGAGCTTGTAACACTCCAAAGAGAAAGGAAAAATTGAAATCGCATCATATGACTCCTTTAAATGACACTGAATATCTGTATCTATACTCTGACATTTAAAACAGATTCAGAGTTGAATTATTAATGAAATTCTATTATCCATCTTAAATATCAGTTTAATAATTTAAGCTAAATCATTAACCCACCATTAAGGACTTTATCAGATACCTTGGTTATTGACCTTGCAGGATAACCATGAAAAAATAAGACCAATGACATTTTTGGAGCAGTCCAAATACTTTTAATTATATCTCCTGTATGTGGTCCACCCAAGTTACAGTTATCTTGTGTTGTAATGCTGTGTTCTGCGTCATTTACATAGACATATACTTTGAGACAAAAGAATTATTACTCACATACATGACAGCATCACTAATGAGATGGCAGGACGGACTTTTAATTAGAGAGATCATAATGCGATATGAGATGTCATTTCTGTTTTTGGCATGAATGACATCAAAGACGAGCAGGTAGAAGAAGAGAGAAGTCAAGCCTATGGCAATGCCGAGATTACGTCTCCAGAGTGTGAAAAGTTACACAGGCAGGTCTTCCATCTCATAGCTGCTCAGAAGCAGCTTCTGTCTTAACCAAAACTCAATGTTCATCACTAGTCTGGTCTCCACAGATCAACCTCTGACCACGTTGAAACTATAAAACTATATAATTTATCATCAAGCACAGTTTGAGTTCACTTCAACAATAGTCTTTTTGAATTATTTAGGCTTGAGGAAAAAGGCAAATGAGTGTCTCTTTGAATGAAACCGTGTGCCTTTTGGGACTGCGATCAAACAATCAGCAACACATACCAAGCACAGTTGTTGTGGCCTCACCACAGATATCTCTCAGGTGATACAAAGTATTGTCATAGAGGGGAATGATGAAAGGCTGTTTGGGTTACAACTCAAAAGTGTGCGTCAAAAATTCTGTAAGCGTCTGTGTTTGTCTCTATAGCCTGTGTATATTTCCTCAGAAAATTCAGCACTTCTCTTGCAGAATGAAACTGGCCCCATTTCATAGACACTTTAAAAGCAACTACAATACAGCATCCTTCCTCCTCTTCCCCACACACACACACACATCACTCTCTATATTGCACACACACATGCCCATGTAACTCCATCACAGTGTAATCTATTCTGGATTCCATGTAGACCTGCCTCTGTTTCAAGCGATGGTTTTCAAAAATTCTACCTCCCAAATTCTCTTCCTCTCAAGCTCTCTACAGACCTACTGCAAGTCAAAATATTGTCTCTCTATGTTGCTGAAAAGATGGTAGTTTGCTTTGACAATCATATAAAACCAGCTAGTAATGTAAATCTAAAGTTAGATGTAGCACATCAGGTGGGATGACATGATGCTTTCTTCAATTGCTTTTAATCTCACCAGTATCTCCTGAAGAATGAATAATGACATGCTGCTTATGTAATCGACCTGATCTGGTCCAAAAATGTCTTAAAGGGGTCATATGATGCGATTTAAATTTTTCCTTTCTCTTTGGAGTGTTACAAGCTCTTGGTGCATAAAGAAGATCTGTAAAGTTACAAAGACTAAAGTCTCAAATCCAAAGAGATATTCTTTATAAAAGTTAAGACTTGTCCACGCTCTCCTAAAACGGCTCGTTCTAACACGCCCCCACATACCTACATCACGATGTGGGAAGATTTGCATAAAGCCGCCCAAATGTCCACCCAAAGAAAGAAGGCGTAACTTTTATTCATGAAGGCGCTGTGTTTCGTTGTGAAAGCGAAACTACTTTGTTTGGTCTTCCAAAAGAGGACGATATCGTTTCGTCATGCCTGGAGCTGATCCGTGCTGATCGCTGAGGAAATACACGGATCGGCTTTCACCGTGGACGAAACGAAGTCCAGCCTGGGGTCGTCACATGTGGTTGCCGCAGGCATCACAATATGGTAAGGGGCGTAACATTTCCGTCACACGCTTGAGGAATTCGGCCAATCACAACGCACTGGATAGCTGGCCAATCACAGCAGACCTCGCTTTTCAGACCGATGAGCTTTGTAAAAATCGACGCGTTTCAGAAAGGCGGGGCATAGAGGAGCAACAATAATGTACATTATGTGGAAAATAATATGTTTTTTTAATTTTAAACCGCATTAAACACATTTCATTACACCAAATACACAAAATAATGTTCTTTTTAGCAACGTCATATGACCCCTTTAAAGGATAGTTCACCTAAAAATGAAAATTTGCTGAAAATTTATTCACCCTCAGGCCATCCAAGATGTAGATGAGTCTGTTTCTTCATTGGAACAGATTTGGAGAAATTTTGCATTACATACCTGCTCACCAATAGATCCTCTATAATGGGTAGCGTTAGAATGAAAGTTCAAACAGCTGATAAAAACATCATAATAATGCACAAGTAATCCACATGACTCCAGTCTATCAGTTAAAGTCTTGTGCAGAAAAAATCTGTGTGTTTGTAAGAAAGAAATCCATTAGTAAGATATTTTAACTTTAACCGTTCTTAACTTTAACTTAAAAAAATACCAGTTAAATACCATAAAAAATACCATAATCCATAATAATACTAAATTATAATAATAATACTACAAATAATACTAAATACTAAAAATAATAATAAAAGTCCATCCCTGTTGTCCTCTAACATTAACATCCACTAACATCCTTGTTTTGAACAGTTTAGCTGTTGTTGCATGTAAATGGTGCTTGATCTGTGCATATTTCTCTTCTGATTCAGATGAGGTGACTTTCACTGGAGAAAGCAATCTTATGGATAGAGGACTCGTGTTTTAGCTGGAAGCAATGGTAACCTAAAATTATCTTAAAGCAATAATTCTGACAAAATTCTGGCATCATTTACCATGTTGTTCTAAACCTGTATGACTTTCTTTCGTTTGTGAAACATATATTATTTGAGAAACGTCTCAGTATTTTTTTTTTTTTATCCATACAATGGTCCAAGACAAAGTCACCAGAACAGTTTGGTTACCAACATTATTCAAGATATCTTCTATTATGTTCCATGGAAGAAAGTCATACAGGTTTGGAACGACATGGGGGTGAAATTTTCACTAGTCAGTTGTCTAGTTCAACTAGTCTTGACTGATTTTAGATTTTTTGGGGACTTTTTCAGCTAGTCAAGCTGGGAGCCAGACAAATTAGTTTGACCATCTTAAAGGGGTCATAGGATGCTACATGCACTTTTACAAGTTGTTTGAACTGAAATGTGTGTTGGCAGTGTGTGTACACAACCACCCTTACTACCACTGAGAAATTTTAACCAAACTATGTTACAGAATTTTCATTAAGACCCTAAAGAATCATATCATCTTGTGGAAAATGGGCATCATATGACCCCTTTAAATTACCATAAACTAGCTAAGACCAGCACACCATCTTAGGCTTGTCTGTTGTGTTCAGGAGAGTTATATAAAAAATGTGTTTGGTAGCATTAAGAGGTGCCTGATTTTATACCTATTATTAACTATGGCTTATAATATCACAGTACGTGCTTGGAAAATGCAATGAGGCATGATTCATTGTGCATTTGTCCACTCACTTGTGTTTATTGAGTTACTGTGTTGATATATGATGATGTAATTTTACCTTTGTGCCTGTTCCAAGTTGCAGGGTAGTCGCTCCCACTCAGGTATGAATCAACCCACTAAATAAGTCTCAGATTTCTCCATTCATCTAAATATAGATAAACTGTGCATATAAATAGAGCAAATATATAATGTGTGCCATTAATATAAAAAAATACAGTTAACAATCAATTAATAATCAAATACGCCTCATTCTGTGTAGCCACTAACATTTTTAGCATTATTCTCACTTCTACTCTTAAGTGAACAGAGTACATAAAGTCTCATATTAATAAGGCCCACCAATGACCTAAGAAAAATTTGTGTCCACTGCAGTTCTTAGTAGCTTTTACATGTGCACTCTAGACTCAATCTACAGGGGCATTACATCCTGGCATAGCAGCTGCTCTGCAGAGGGTGTTGAAACAGCTCAACGGATCATGGTCACACGGCTCTCAGCAATCCAGGACATCTATTCTAAACGCTGTCTCAGGAAAGCTGAATGCATTAAGAAGGACTTCAGTCAGCCAGCACCAACACTTTTCTGCTTTCTGCTTTCTGCCTTCTGGAAAGCGAATCAGGTCCATCAGCAGATGCACATCAAAATACAAGGACAGCTTACATCCCAATCCCATGCTGCACGCTGTTACATTGACACATACACTATGGACCCATCACATGTTCACACTGCAATAGGACTTAATTACTGCCAGTCACTGTACTCATTTTACCTCTTGCTCTGTCGCTTTATACTTTTCCTCTTACTGTCTCTTATTATACTGCTGCAGATCAGTCTTGGCAGATCTCTCTAGAAAAATAAGCGATCATCATCATAATGGCCAAGCAGACATATTTTATTGTGCTACAAGGGCCAAGCAAGCTCAAATACGTGACTGTATTTTGGAAATTAGCCCAAAACAAAATCCATGACTGCCTATATTTCTATGCCTATAATTTATGCAAAAAAAGGCCAAAGTACCTGTAGTTATTCCTGTAATGGAAAGGCTGAATTTTCAGCAGCCATTACTCCAGTCTTCAGTGTCACATGGTCCTTCAGAAATCATTCTGATTTGGTCAAAATTACCAGTACCGTTACTGTTTTTCTATGTGTTTTTTTTCTCTGTGTGAACTCCTTTATTCAAAAGGAATATTGCACAAACTTGTGCAGTTCATGCATCTTGGGTGTCAATAAAGCAACACTGGAACAGACCATATACAATTTTTTTCAGTGCAAATTTTCTACATTTTAAAGTGAGCAAAGGTTTATGCTGATAATATGTGAAGAAAAATCTAAATAGTAGCATTTTCAGCAGGAGCCCACTGTACTTTCACTGTAGAATATAAGTGCATTATGTGGATTGCCCTTTTTATGCTGCTCTGGATGGTTTGCTAAAAGTGGAATAATTTCACTGATCTCCAGTCATACATCCTTTATTATTTGAGGAACAAGCTGGATCCTGTTGCTTTGTAGAATGTCATAAAAATACAAAAAAGGCAAAAAAAAATTAATAATACAATATGTACTGTATTAGTTCACATTTATTTGAGAAACATTTTGTTAAGCTTGTGCAGATATGTATCTCTGATGTGTGTTTAGAATTAAAGACTGACAGCCTTTGAATATAAGGCATAACATCACGTTTGATAGCCTTGCGGAATGGTATAATGCATATAGTTTCTACAGTAACACATTGTATCATTAGTTCATGATCTCCCATCAGTTCTGACATTAGACTGATTATACAAACCTGCCCTTTCCATCATTAAAAAGCTTCAGAGGTCAACGACTAAACAAGACTGATTATTTCTTTAACAGAAACCACAGTTAACCCCAAACAGACACTTCTGAAAGAACAGAAAGCACAAAAAACATGATTATTATTATTATTTTATTTTTT